GCCGCGTCCGCTGCCTGGCTCTCGCCGCCCACAGCCGCGCGGAGTCGCTGGGCGATGGCCCGGCGGAGCGCCACGCTGAGCTCGGCGCCACGCCGCCAAACCAGCGCGCTGGCGGCCGCCGCCGCAGCCGGGCCGTCGCCGAGGCCCTGCGCCTGGTCCCGCGCGAGCCAGCGCAGCTGCTGGAGCGCCGCCTTCCCGCGGCGGCCAGCCGCTGGTCTCCAACGCCAGCGGCACAAGTGGCCAAGGCGCGCGGCCCGCCGGGTAGCGGCGCCGCTTGTCCGCCTCGGCGTCGGCGTTGACGGCGCCGTCGCCGTCCGCCGCGGCCGCCAGGGCGGGTGCCTCTCTGGCGACGCTGTAGCGGGCGGTCACGTCCGCGCACAGCCCAGGGGAAGGAGCAGCCCCCGCGCTGCGCCTTCATATCAAGGGGCGCCTCCTCCCGCTCCACCTGGAGCGCCGCTCCGCAGGCAACGCAAGGCCCAGGCGGTGGCGTGTCCGCCACGCCGCGGCCCGCGCAGGCAGGGGCGGGGCAGCGCCAGTGCCACCGGCCCCAGGCTGTGACAGGCACATGTCGGGCCGCGCGGAAGCCGCATTCCTGGAAGATGCGCCCCCACGCGTCCTCGACCTCCTTGCTCCGCGCCTGCGGGCCGCCTCCGCAAGAGCAGCTGTAGGCGTGGCGCGCCTTGCGGCAGAGCGCCCGCCCGCAGAGATGCCCCGCCCTCGGGCCTGTCTTGAGGCGGTTGCTGCAGCGGGCCCCAGCCGACGCGCTGTCCTGGTCGAGCAGCGCCCGCGCGGTGGCGCAGTAGGCGTCGTCCTCGAGCCTCTGGCGCGGGCCACCGTTGGCCAGCTGCCAACCCGCCGCGTGGGGCCCCCCGCAGGAGCGCAGGAGTGCTCGCTTTTCAGCTCCGATGGCGTTCGCTCAGCAAGGTTTGGTGGTTGCTTTTGTCTAGCCTTTGCGTGAGCGCCTTGTGGAGCTTCTATCGAGGTTCCTGCGCAAGCAGCCCCCAGGGCGGCAGCTGCCGGCGTCTCTCCTCCTCGTCAGGCAGCAGTTCGGCCAGCGCCGCCCGACAAGCAGCCGCCAGGGGCAGCCGCCCCACAGGCAGCGTCTCTCCTCCTCCTCCTCCTCTTCCTCCTCCTCCTGTTCTTCCTCCCCCTCCTCCTCCTCCTCCTCCTCCTCCTCTTCCTCCTCCTCCTCCTCCTCTTCCTCCTCTTCCTCCTCTTCCTCCTCCTCCTCCTCCTCCTCCTCCGCCTCCTCCTCCTCCTCCTGCGCCGCGCCCTCCCGGAGATGAGGAGGGGACATGAGGTTGTTTAACGAGACGAGAGCCCGCAGGATCATTCAAGTCGACCTCTGACTAACACAAGCCACGCGCCAGGGGAAAGGCCGCAACGGCGGACATCCAGTGAAACGCAGGCCACGCGAGCAAACAAGGAAGGCAAGGGCCTCAACGAAGCCTCTGGCCTCGGGTGGAGAACGCTGACAAGCCCAATGCAGCGGACAGCACGCGCCACAGGGCCCGCGAAAGAACGAATTCGCAGCGCATGCACCCAACACTCACACATGCACTGCGCTTCACTCCGCGGGCGCGCCCCCCTTCAGGGGCAGCGCGTAGTTCATCCCGTTTGCCATCATCCGCGACGCGGTGGCTCCCCGAGTTCTTCGAGCCCTGGCGCGCGTGATTAGAAAATGTGTCACGCCTCGCATCGCAAGTTGACATTGCCCCTCCTCGTTGCCAGTACTGGATCCGATGTGAATTGTTCTCGATCGCCACGGCCGCCGTGGCCCGGTTGCCGCCTGTGGACCCTCGGGTTCGGGTTGGGTCGTCCTGGCTACTTTTGGGCGCTGTGCACTGCGCGCGTTCCAGTAACAAGGGGATCCTCCTCCTCCTCCTCATCATCATCATCATGATCATCATCATCATCATCCTCATCATCATAATCATCATCAGCAGCATCAGCATCTTCATCATCATCATCATCTTCATCATCATCATCATCATCATCAGCAGCATCATTTTCATCATCATCATCAGCATCAGCATCAGCATCAGCATCATCATCATCAGCAGCAGCATCATCATCATCATCGTAACATCATCATCATCATCATCATCATCATCATCATCATCATCATCCTCACCGCCACCGCCACCACCACCATCTTCGTCATCGTTTGTTCCAGACGTCTCCCTCCAACGATCGGGCTCCCCCGCAAACGATAGTACCAGCAACGGATATGCGGGCAATCGTCCGCAGCGCGCATCGCAGTGCTGCACGCCACCAGGACTGACGGACGCCCCCCTGAAAGCAACTGTTGCTAATCGTGTCCTTGTCGTTTCTCTTACGAATAACCACGGAAATAAAGGAGGAGAAGGAGGAAGGAGGAGGAGGAGAAAGAGAACAGACGCGGGGAAACAAATCGCTGACCTCGCGGGAGCCGGAAAAAGCCTCAGGAGATCACCGAGAAAGATCGGTGACTTTGCGGGCAGCGGAAGCGGTTCGGCGACCTTGCGGGGGCTGGAAAAGACAGCAAAACATCACCAGGGTATCGGTGGCCTCTCCTTGCCATCGCTCGGACGTCCATTCCCCGTGCATGTTTCGTTTTCGTGCGTGTTGTTTTTGCTCGATGCTCCAGGATGCTCCTCGATGGTCCTCGCCGAGGAAAAAAGCACACGTCCGAGCGATGCCAAGTCAGGGGGGCTCAATAGGGCGCTGAAGGTCAGCGGTCGCACCTGGGCCTCACGCACTACCCCAGCAGCGGCCTCGCTGGCCACCAAGGAGCCGTCGTCCTCGCCGTCCTCGTCGCCCTCGCGACCTTCCCTTGCGGGTGCCGCCGCCGCCAGCTCGACGGCACAGTCGCCCAAGCATCTGCGGACCATCGCCACCGCCCGCGACCAGACAACGACAGCGAGGTCCAGCGCCCAGCCCCCGACGCTGGGCCACGCGACGCGCGGCCTGGGTTAAACGTGTGTGATGTCGGGATGGCGGCGGCCGTGGGCGCTGAAGACGGCCGGGGCGTAACGGATGCCCTGGGCCTCGAGCTTTGGCAGCACTGCGGAAAGCGTAACGCTCTTCTACGACGAGCGCACGGTCGGGCACCGGAAAGAGGACGGCCGCCACCCAGAACGGCCGCAACGAGTGGAGCGGATCATGCGCCGCCTGGAGGCGGAGGGGCTGTTGCAGAGGTGCCAGCGGCTGCCCTGCCGCGAGGCGGCGCGCGAAGAGATCACCAACGACAACTACAGGACGTACAGCGTACCATTACCCACAGGCGGCCTCACGAGGAACCCTAACAACGACCTGGATACGACCAGCAAGCGTTAGCGAGGTGAGGACTCGCTTTAACGCCATGTGCCACAAATACATGAACTCCACATTCCGTATACAGCGCTACCGACAAGAGCATTGTATGCACAGCGCTACATACAAGATACCACGTCATCCGCATCATCGCTGTAGTTACGCTGAGTGGCCCGGCCACTACCTAAGGGGCCCACAAAAGACGTACGCGCCAAACCAGGTACATGAATACGGCCCCCCAGACCGCGAGACCAGCCGCGTGATACGAACGTTCGCGAAGTGTGCCCTTTCGAAACAACGTGGATTCATTTACGTGTACGTCCTTCTTTCGCTCCTGAACTACCCCTGACCCCCCTCCGTTGACCTACTTGAGCCTCGGGATGTAGGATGGACAGGCGACCTCCCTCCCACCCCTCCCTTCTTAAAACGGAAATCAAGTCTCGCGGTGATCCAGGGGGGCTCCCGCGCTGTCCGCCCGCGTGGCGCCGTTTAGGCGCGCGAAGCGAGCGCACAGACGCGGGATCGCGCTGAGGCACGCTGCGGCAAGGAGGACAGGCGGCGAGCGAGGGGGGTAAATGCGAAGGAGAAGGCCTTCTAAGAAGGCAGCGAAACTTCTCATAAGCCCTCGCGCCTTCTTCGAAGAGTTTTGTGTCTTCGGGGAAGACTGAGAGAACTTCTCAGAAGGCCAGGGAACTTCCGAGCCTTCCGAGAAGGCTCGCCCCTTCTCACTTCCCCCCCGGGCTCACCGCAGAGAGGAGGAAGAGGCCCAGTCAGAACACAAGACGCTTCAACGATGTTGCAATAAACCCTCCCTCCAAGCTCCCTCTCCATGTCCACACAAGAATAGACTTTCATTGCGGGAAGTGCCCCAGTGGAAGACAACCGTTTGAAAGTCCTCAAGCGTGCCAGAGCACCGTTCTTGGACCTTCAGCACCGCGAATCAACGTGGCTGTTGCATCCTGACAACCCTAAACCGTGCCCGAACACCATTCCTGGGACTTCAAGACCGCGAATCAACATGACTGTTGCGTCGTGACCATCCTAAATCGTGACAGAACGCAGTTCCTGAGACGTCGAGCATACGAACCCTTGAAGCTGTTGCAAGCTTTCATAACGAATGTGCGCGGCTCTAATACGAAAGGCACATTTTGAAAAGGAACGACCATCCATTTCTTGAAACCCCTGCAAGCCTGTAAAACAAATGCCCACAGCACGAAACCAAAACCGTATGTTGAGAACGACTTGCCCTCCATCTTCGAAACTGTTGCAAATGTGTACAACGAATGCACGCGGCACTAAGGCGAGAGCCACAACTTGAAAACGGCCCGCCCCCCATACATGAAAACGTCGCAAACGTTTAAAAAGAATGCGCGCGGCGCTAAAGCGAGAACCACATTTTGAAACCACCCGCGCTCCATCCGTCAAACGGTTGCCAATTTCAAGCGTCAATATCATGAATGGTGATAACTCTCAGGCGAATCGCCCAGCCCGCCTTATACTTATACCGACACGCCTGGGGGGGGGCGACAGGGAGGAGTTACTGATCAGGAAAAGGGAGGGTGAAGGAGGAAAAGAGGGGGGCGCAGGAGGGAATCAAGAGGGAGGAAGGAGGCGGAATGCAACTGTAAGAGAGGGAGGAGGGCGGCGGGCCAGACACTCGGCGGCGCCCTCCCGCCCCGTAATTACGGAGCTGGCCTTGAGGTCGCCGATCTGGGCCTTGTGGACGAAGGTGTCCCGGCCGTAGCGGGCGTTGACCTCCGCCGAGCGGCGGCCGCGGCGGCCATCGAGGCTCCGGCGGCCGAGCAAGTCGAGAGCAGCCGCCGCGGCGGCAGCGGCGGCAGCGGCAGCGGCAAGCTGTGATCGCCTGCGGGCCTTCTCTGGGCCTGCAGGACATCCCCGGAACCCCGCCTGCGGGGCCTGCGGAGCGCGTGGGGCGTGTGGGACCCGTGGGGCCTCTCGGGCCCGTGTGCCTCGAGGTCGCCGAGCTGGTCCTTGCGGACGGAGGCGTCCTGGCCGAACGGCGGCCGCGGCGGGCCTCGACGGGACACCAGGGGGTCGCGGCGGCCGAGCAGTCGAGCAGCCGCCGCGGTTACTCATACTCGATTCTGGCCTCCTCCTCCTTCTCCTCCTCCTCCTCCTCCTCCTGTTCCTCCTGTTCCTCCTGCTCCTCCTGCTCCTCCTGCTCCTCCTGCTCCTCCTGCTCCTCCTGCTCCTCCTGCTCCTCCTGCTCCTCCTCCTCCTCCTCCTCCTCGTCCTCCTCCTCCTCCTCCTCCTCCTCCTCCTCCTCCTCCCTTCCTCCTCCTCCCTTCCTCCTCCTCATCCTCCTCTGGGAGGGCCGCTGAAGGATGGGCAGGTAGGAGGGAGAGAGGGCAGGGAGAGGAGGGAGGGAAAACGAGGAGGGGCTGCGACAAATCGGGATCGCGTGCAGGATTCCCCGGGCCTGCCAGATGTCCCCGAAAGCCCCAGGAGACTCCCAGAAAGACCATACAGTCCGCCAGAGGCACTCAAGGACGCCTCCAGCTAGGGTGTAACAAATGTACATAGCAATAGCTAAGGTTTTCCGAGGCTTGTCGGCTTAAGATAGCCTCGGGCAAGTTTCAGCGGGGCCCAAGACGCTCCTAAAACGGCCCATAGAAGACTCCAAGACGGCCCAATAACATCCAAGACGGCTCAAGACCGCCACAAGGAGGCTCCAAGATGGCTCCAAGACCCGCCCAGACGGCCTCATGATGGTCCAAGAGAACCCCTTCGGGAGAGATCGAGGAAGCCATCGCGCCCACGACGGACAAGGGAACACCACTGGACCAAGAGGAGTGGCCGGGCTGCGCTCGCATGCTCGCGAGGGTAGCGTTGGGTCCAAGTTTTTATTCAGCAGAGTCCAGCATCCAATCTCCCTCCTTCCATCCTCCTCCCCCTCCTCCCTCCTGCTCTACGCATGTCCACATCATCATCGTCATCATCACCACCACCACCACCATCAGCATCAGCATCAGCATCAGCATCAGCATCAGCATCAGCATCATCATCATCATCATCATCATCATCATCATCAGCATCAGCATCAGCATCAGCATCATCATCATCATATCATCATCATAATCATCATCATCATCATCATCATCATCATCATCATCATCATCGTCATCATCATCATCATCATCATCATCCTCATCCTCATCTTCATCCTCATCCTCATCCTCATCCTCATCCTCATCCTCATCATCATCCTCATCATCATCATCATCATCATCATCTGAATCATCTTCATAATTAGCATCAGCATCATCATCATCACCATCACCATTACCATCACCATCACCATCACCACCACCATCATCATCATCAGCATCAGCATCATTATCATAAGCATCATCATCAGCAGCAGCATCAGTTTCATCATCAGAATCAACATCATCATCATCATCACCATCATCATCATCGTAATCATCATCAGCAGCATCATCATCCTCATCATCATTATCACCACCATCTGCTTAACAATCAAACTGATCATCATCATCACAACCACCACCATCCCCATCACCATCAACATGATTATCATCATCACGATCATCAACAGCATCAACATACTTGTCGTGATCTCATAGTCATCACCAGTATCAGCATCAGCATCACCATCATGATCAGCATCACCATCATCATCACCATCCTCATCACCATCATCCTCATCATCATCATTATCATCGTCATCTTCATCCTCATGATCGTGTTCATCATCATCATGATCAGCATCAGCATCATACTCATCAGCATCATCACCCTCATCCTCATCCTCATCCTCATCCTGATCCTCGTCGTCGTCGCAATTATCACCAGCATCAGTATCAGCAACAACATCAACATCACCATCACCATCACCAACACCACCACCATCATCATCAACAGCATCAGCATCACCAGTATCGTCGTCATCATCATCACCAGCATCATCATCGTCATCATCATCAGCAGCAGCATCATCGTCATCATCATCACGAGCATCAGCATCATCATCATCATCATCATCATCATCATCACAGCAACAGCATCCGCAGCATCATCAGCAACACCATCATCATCACCACCACGATCATCATCATCACCACCACCACCATCCTCGTCAGCAGCAGCAACATCACCAGCATCGCCATCACCATCACTATCACCATCACTAACATCATCATCATCATCAGCAGCAGCATCATCAGCAGCATCATCAGCATCGTCGTAACATTCGTCGTAGTCATCCCCATCATCGTCATAATCTTCGTCATCATCATCAGCATCGTCATCGTCATCTCCACACGCATCATCATCATCATCAGCATCATCATCATCGTCATCGTCATCATCACCACCACTATCACGAGCAGCAGCTGCATCACCCTCATGATCTTCGCTGACCTCGCACTGAGCTCCGCATGTCACCCCTCACACGCTTCGTGGTCAAAAGGGGTTGCACCCGCATGCCGCCACCACCCCGCGGTGGCACACCCCTCACACCCGAGAGCGCATTCTGACCAGAGATTTGAGGCGCATCCAGCCGTGGCGACGATGGCCCTCCAGGAGACCCGAAAAGAACGAAAAACGTCAAAGCCCCTCCATTGCTTCATTATCCTTCTCCTCCTCCTCCTCTTCCTCCTCCTCCTCCTTCTCCTCCTCCCTTCCTCTTTCTCCTCCTCGTCCTCGTCCTCATCCTCGTCCTCGTCCTCGTCCTCTCCCTCCTCCATCCTTATCCTCCCTATCATCGGCCGACCCCTCCCTCATGCCATTACCGAACACTTGGACGAGGAGCCTCCCGGCACTCGATGAAGCCGAATCCCTTGTCAGGGTTGAAGGACTTTATCTTTCCTGGCGGGGTTTGCATCATCCTCCTCCTCCTTCCCTCCTCCACCACCTCCTCCTCCCCCTCCTCCTAGTCATCATCGTCGTCATCATCATCATCACCATCATCATCATCATCATCATCATCATCATCATCATCAACAGCAGCGCAGCAGCAGCAGCAGCAGCATCATCATCATCATCATCGTCGTCGTCGTCATCATCATCACCATCAGCATCATCATCATCACCATCATCATCATCACCACCACCACCATCATCATCATCATCAGCATCATCATCATCAGCAGCAGCATCAGCATCAGCATCATCATCATCATCATCATCAGCATCATCATCATCGTCGTCGTCATCGTCATCGTCATCATCATCATCATCATCATCATCATCAGCATCAGCATCGTCATCGTCATCGTCATCATCATCAGCAGCATCATCATCATAATCATCGTCATCAGCATCATCATCATCAGCATCAGCAGCGCAGCAGCAGCATCATCAGCATCATCATCATCATCATCATCAATATCATCATCATCAGCAGCATCATCATCAGCATGATCATCATCAGCATCATCAGCATCATCATTACCAGCATCAGCATCATCATAGTCACACATAATCATCGGCATCATCGGCATCATCATCATAATCACCATCAGCATCATCATCATCACCATCATCATCGTCATCATCGTCGCCATCATCAGCATCATCATTGTCATCAGCATCATCAGCATCATGACTATCAGCATCGTCATCATCATCATCAGCAGCATCATCATCTGTATCCTCCTCTTCTCCCTCCGCGTCTTTCTGCTCGTCATCATCGTCATCGGCATCATCATCACCACCACAACCACCATCGGCATCATCGGCATCATCAACATCAACATCACCGCCACCACCATCACCATCACCATCACCATCAGCATCACCATGAATCCTCATCTTCCTCATCATCAGATGCATCATCACCACCATCATCAGACTCCTCCTCATCATCGCCATCATCGTCCTCATCATCATCCTCACCCTCACCCTCATCATCAGCAGCAGCACCACCACCAACATCAGCATCGCAATCATAAACGGCATCACCATCATCATCATCATCATCAGCAGCAGCAGCATCATCGGCATCATCCGCATCATCAGAATTCGTATCATCATCAGCATCATCATCAACTACATCATCATCAGCAGCATCATCGTCAGCATCAGCATCATCATCACCACCACTACCACCATCACCATCACCGGCACCATCACCATCAGCACCATCAACGTAATCGTGACCATCACCATCATCATCATCATCATCATCATCATCATCATCATCATCATCATCATCATCATCATCATCATCAACTGCCTCACGTTCATATTCCTCCATCTCCGCCCTCTCTTCCTCTTCCTCCGCCCCTGTCCCTCCTTCTCATACTGTGACGTTCCGGCCTCATCATACTCCTCCTCATACTCCTCTTCCTCCTCCTCCTCCTCCGCCTCCTTCTCCTCCTCCTCCTCGGCCCCCTCGTCACCGTGACGCTGTTGTCAACTTCCAGCGACCGTGCGCAAGTGGTACGATTTGTTCAGAGGCGCGGCCTCCCCGTGAACTTGAAGAAGTGATTATGCATGGTGACGGGCACGCCCCTGGCTGAGATGCTACAGGCTCTGTGGGCTCCGTGGGACCTCCCTGAGACAAGCAAGAAATCCAGCACGAGGAACCTCGGGAGCGACGAAAACCTCGGCGGATGCAGGCGGGTCGGTGTCACGCGAGCCAGATGGAAGGCATCATCCAGAATGTCAGGAAGGCTCCGCTCCTTTCGAGAGGCGGGGTCCGCTATAACGTGGATCCGGAGAGGAGGCCCGATGGCATCAGCGTTGTGGGGAGTGTGTGTGATGGGCATCCCACCCACGGAGTTGCACTAGCTTCGGGATAGTACGTGCAAGAGCCTTCGGCGGTTTTCTCGGGGAGCCTCGGTGGGGCTCAGACTGTTCAGCTTCAAGAATGGGCATCGCGTCGATCCTTGGGGTGGTGCACCAGTGGAGCTCGGCGCGCTGGGAGGGCTCAAGAACACCCTTGAGGTCACTCAGGTTAAATGCTCGTCCTCAGCCAGGTCATGGGTCGCTTCCCCTTCCCCAGCTGACGTGGCTCTCCTTATGCTGAAAGGCATCTCTTTGAGGCTTGAGTCAACGCAGGAGGTGAGAATCGACTTGGATGATGGGCTGAACTTGTCCCGCCTCGGCCCCGCTCTCGTCAGGAAGCTGGCCGAAGATGGAGCGAGGCGTGAGTCTGACGGGCAGGCCCTGGCTGCGCAGCCCTGCCCCATGGATCCCTTCTCTTTCTTGGTCTGGCCTCGGCTGTTTGCTCTACGAGACCGTCATCAGAAGAGGAGGAGGAGGAGGAGGAGGAGGAGGTTTGCTATCACCCTCGGCATTGACATGTCGCCCTTCGCCGGCGTGCTGGCGGAGGGGGAGAAGGTCCTCAGAATAATGCATGTGTCTTCTTGTTCTCTGCTTGCTCCACGGGACCACTGCCCACTGGTCGTTGCACCCGCAGCGCGCCTTGAGGGCCCTGCTTTCGGGAGTGTGGTGGTCCCGGGTCCGCCTGTGCAAACACGGCCTGTCCGAGAAGTCCCCGCTGCCCCCCTCTGTAGCGACCCTGATGGGCCCACATGGCACAGGTGCTATGAGCAAGTGCGACGCGCGCGCTCAGGAGGGACAGAGCCTTGCAGTGCCTCGTGCAGCGGACATGCAAGGCAAAGGCTTGGTCCCTCGAAGCCAGAGAATTCTTTGCGCGAGGGACGGTCCCCGACCGTCGCCCGCTCGCTGAGGAGGAGGCCCTCGGGCCGCCCGAGGGCCGCTGATTTTGGCTGGAGCGCCCGGTGCGCTCCAGCCAGAATCAGCAGACTGAAGGGGCCCTGGGACACACAAATAAATACACACAAATGAAAAGGTTCCCCATATTTTCCCATATTTTCTGGGTTTTTGTCTTCCCGCCCAATTCCCATAGTTTCCCATATTTTCTTTGGGATGGACGATGTTCTGGCACCAGCTGCCCGAGTCGGGCTATGCCTCGGGGCTGGTGCTCCTGAACGGGTCCGCCACGTTTCCGGGATCCCGGCTGCTCTCACGGGATGGCCGGCCGGTGGTGATGCGTGACCGTTTCGGCAAAAGGCGGGCCGCGGCACACGGACCCGTGCCAGTCGAAGCAGCGCCGCAGCAGAGGGCTCGAGATGCGGAAGGTTCTGCTGTCAGCACGCCATGCCGAGCGGCTGTACCTCCCTACCAGCCGGTCATAGACTGCGAGGGCACGGTTTCTACGCTGTGGGCGTGCCCTGGAGGGGGCTCGGGCGTCGGGAGCCCCGCATTTGAGCCGAACGACGTCGAGGCCCGCAAGACGAGAGCCCAGTGCAGCTCAGCAGGTGTACATAGTGATGCTGCCACCCTCTGGCAGACGAGAGGGAACGATGCTGCGGGCGAGTTTGCCAAGCGAGGAGCCCAGCTGCGCGGAGTGCGTGAAACTGACTTACCAGCTTTGGCGAGGCCTTGTCGAGCTGACCCGCGAGGCCGCCAGGTGGAGCGGGGGGTCGCACGCTTTGGTCGGGGACGGGGTGGAGGCGACTGATCCGGCTGACCGGATGGAGGCCTTACATCGACCAGCGAGAGGCGGTGGAAGCCTCCCGTCTGGCCGAGTCCAGCCCTCTCCCCCCGCCTGCCGCCGCGCCCTCCGGACCCTCGGAGGCTCACCCCGCCGCAGGGTGGGAGGCGTTCAGGGACGTCGGGCACAACTTCAGCGGGCACCCGCTCCTGCACGCGCGTGCGACGGCGAGGTCGGGCAGGGAGGACGGTTTGGCCCTGCTGTGCCCGTGGAGCGCCCGTCTCTGGGCAAGAGGCCCGCGCGGGCCCCTCTCGGGCCGTGCCGCCGCGAGCACGCGACCTCTGGCTCGAGTGGGCAGCTGCGCAGGCCGAAGGCACACCGCTGGCCTTCGAACAATCGTCCTGGACCCTCCAGAAGGAGTTCCCCCGGACGTCCGTGAGGGCTCGAGCTAACCAGTGTTTGTGGTTGTCGTTTTGTGTTCACTGTCCTTCGTTCTGTCTTCGCTCTGCCTCTGCCGCGAAACGAAAAAAGAACGAAAACAGTCCAAGAGACTGAGAAAACACTGCTTAGTTCGAACCCTGACGTCCGTATGTGTTTAGCCAGCATGTTTCGTCTTAGCGCGGTGGGAGCCCCAGGGGCCAGTGGTGCGGGAGAGCGAAGCGTGGGACCCGCGCCCCTGTCCCACAGGGCCCTCGCTCGTGCTGGGAGCTTATCTGGTTTGACCGAGGCCCTCGATAAAGCCCTGGGACGCGCCTCCTCTCCCAAGCAGAGGAGTTCGACTCGGCCTCCGAGTCGGGAGGCCGACAGTGCCTCCGACCTCGAGGCTGAGGGCTAGCTGGCCCACGACCGGCTTCAGGCCGCTGTCTATCCATACCCTCTCATCACCGTCACGCAGGAAAAGAGACCTGATCTCACCTACCCTGTGGATGACCCGCGAGATCGCACGCTGCGGGTCGAGCTTGTGACACGAACGTGTGAGTAGGACTTTTATGAGAGGTTTCAATTTCCCACTCAGGTTCAGCACCACATGCCAACCTGGGTGCATCATATCCCGTGGTTGTGAGAACGTCATTCCGAGCCAATGCTTACAACTGTCATACTTTTCATGTATGATCCTGCTAGCTCAGACCTGCTTGTCCCCATATAGAGTATACTGTTGCTCACTGGAAGGGGAGCCCAACTCGGTGAACAGCTCATCCGACTTCTGAGTCACATCATCTGATTTTCCCAACATTCATGTACAGGAGCGGACCTGCAATACGTTGGCCAAGAGGTTGTTGGTACTGTTCAGGGACTCGCAGCACCTCCGCTCCTGACGATGCCTTGAACTGCAGCTTGACGGGTCGGTGCGGGTCAGTGGGTACGGCTGTCAGCACCCGCTTGCCCCCCTCCTCCTCCGCCTCCTCCTTCCTCGTCCGCTTTCCCCCCTCCGCTTCCTCGCCTCCATCCTCCCCCCTCCTCCCTCCTTCCCCTCCCACTCCTCGCAGCACTCCCAGGAGAAGGGAGGAGAAGAAAGGAGGAGGGAGGAGGACAGGCCAAGAAGTGAGAGGCCACGAGCAGAGAGCACGAGGGAAAGACAGCAGGAGAGCAGCAGCGGGCGCAAGCAGGAGCAAGAACAGGTATACGAGCGGGAGCACGAGGAGGAGGGAGAGGAGGAGGAGGAGGAGGAGGAGGAGAAGGAGAAGGAGGAAGAAGCAGAGCCAAGTGATCAGAACAACGATATCAATAGTAAATGGTAAGAACCGCAGGGATCATTGGAGAAGTAAGACTAAACTTATACATGAAAACCAAGAACCATAATAACATTGAAAATATTGATGATAATGCAAAAGAAGATTGCTTCCGGAGTCCCCTACAGGCCCACCAGGACCCGTCTCGCGCGGCTGCCGCGGAGAGGCCCCACCCCCGCGCCACGCCTGGCCTTCGCGGGGAGGGCGCCAGGCTCGGCGGAGACGCCCGACGCCGGCAAGAGCTGAGCCGCGGAGGCGGCCCCCGCACCTCAGTCGGCCTTCTCGGGATGTTGGCCGCGCGCACAAGGGGGTAGGGGGAGGGGGGATGGCTTCTTAGATGGACAAGCGAGTTCCACTGCTTGCAAAGTAGCTACTCGCACATGGCCTGGATCCGCGGCGGAGGACTCACGATCCATTACGTCGAGGCAGCTCTGTGTTTTTCGGACGTTTGCGATTGGGCACTTTTGCGAGTAGTGGAACGCGCTCGGTGATTAGAAGGAGGCTGTTTCTTAAAAGGCGCGGGCCTCACATCTACAGGCAAGGCCCGCCCCTTTTCCAAGAAGCAGGGGTGCTTCTGAGAAGCCCTCCTCCCCCCTCCCCCCATACCCCCGCCTGTGCGCGTGGCCGAGGGAGGGCGCCAGAGGCGCCGGGCGCCCCTGCCAGCAGGAAGAGCCGCCCGAAGCACCCGAGCACGAGGACGGCGGAGAAGTCCGACACCAGCAGGAGCGGCAGGAACTCCATGCGCCCCCCGAAGAGCAGCTGGTGGCCGCCTGCGTCGACGTAGGCCCCCAGCGCGGCGACGCCCAGGACCACGAGGGCGCCCGGGAGGGGCCACACCCCGAAGAGCGCGAGGCGGCCACCGCCGGCGGGGGCGGCCCCACGCGCGGAGCTGCGGTGCAGCAGGCACGCCTCAGAGGCGTGGCCCGCCACGAGGAGGGCCCACTTCACGGCAGTCTCCAGGCGGCGCTGCGGCAGCAGGGGCAGCACGCTGAAGGTCCCGAGCAGCGAGAGCGCCGCGGCCGCCGCGCACAGCTCGGCGCTGCGGGACCCTGCCGCGGCAGCAAGGAGGGGGATGGTCACCATCAGGATGGCCTTCTCGTGCACGTGCCAGCCGCACGCGAAGGACACCGCGCAGCCCAGCGCCACGTACAGGGTGAACACGTACTGCCGCGGCGGGTTGCCCTGGGCGCAGCCGCGCGCCTGCGTAGCCTCGGGAGGCGTTCGCCGCCAAATGACCACTAGTAGTGGCGCGTAGGCGAGCAGCGTCAGCGCGAACGTGGCTTTGGGAGGCACTGTCCACAGCACCGAGGACTCATAGACCTCCGCGAAGCCAGCGGTGGAGGACTGGCCGCCCTGCGCTCCGAGGCCAATCTTGGCCAGCCCACGGTCGAGGGTGTTGTAGATTGCCCAAACGTTAGGCGCCCAGTACGCGTGTGTCAAGCCTCGTCCGAAAGGGAACATTCTGCTCGCAGCCTGTGCTGCCTGCCCGGTGCAGACCACGGGCAGCCAGACAGCTGCAAAAGTGAGAACGACCAGTAGTCCAAGTTGCACGAGGGCGCCGTAACGGAGCTGGAACCCCAACAGCGCGCCGTGGCCAGTAAATCTCAGACCGCAGTGCCCGCGGAGGAGGTATACAAAGTAGACCGGGGCCACGTACAGGAAGATCTGCTTGAAGCTCAGCAGCAGGCAGAAAAGGAATGCTCCTCGGTAGGTGCGTCCCCCGTCCAGGTCCGCGGCTGACAGGAGCAGGAGGCCCAGCAGCATCCCGTTGTACTGGAAGTGGATGTGGTCCACCAGCAGCAGCGCGGGATTGAGCAGCACGAGCGCCACTGGCGCAGCAGCGCCGCCTCCCGCGGCGTAGGCTCCAGCGAGTAGTAGTAGGTCGCAGGCAATCACTGAGCAGCGCTGGAACGTCACGGTGGCGGGGCTCGCGTACTCCAGATTGTTCACTCGCAGCATCTCTGGGTCCACCACCGCCGCGGCCTGTGAGAGCGCCCACTCGAAGTACGCGAACAGCGGGGGGTAGTCCAGCGTCCACTGCGAGGTTTCTTCGAAGTACCACCTGAGCGAAGATCGGAAACGGATCTTACGCGAGATGACGTGGCGACCTTACGCGGTGGCTTATGCGGGCCGCCAGCGCGGCACGCTACATGGGAGACGAGGGCGCTTACGCGCGACATTACGTGGGCAGCTCACGCGCCAATGTCGGCGCAGTCGACCCCGTTTTGTTTTGACACTCACCTGGACAGCGGGAGTGAGTGGGTGATCGCCAGCCAGTTGCGGTGAACCTCGAAGTCGGTGCTCCTGTACAGCGGGAGGGCACAGAGCAGGAGCCGAACCGCCAGCGCAGCCACCACGGCAGCCGCCAGCGCCCCCCAGGTGCCGCGACCACCCCGTGGCGCCGCCATCCTGGGCCGCGAAGGCAAGGGCCACCCCGGACGCAGAGCTTGAGCCGAAACGGCCACGGACACGAGCGGGGTGCGCCACTCCACCGATGCCTCCTGCCAAAACCAGGCGGTCGGCTGCGCCGATGGCGAGCACGTCAGAGACTAGACCAAGTGGGGGGAGGAGGAGGAAGAGGAGGAGGAGGAGGAGGAGGAGGAGGAGGAGGAGGAGGAGGAGGAGGAGGCGGAATAGGAGGAGGAGGAAGAGGAAGAGCGGAACATATGGTGGACACTGGTTCCACAAGGTAATCCGCCAACGCGCCAGCAAGCAAGTCGGGCCCCCCGGCCGACCCGCCGGCCCCCCTCGCCCGCGCGCGGCGTCAGACACCTGCTCCGCCTGATGTTGTTTTCCAGGGCCCTTGTCGGGCTTTCGATGGCCGCGAGCCAGCCAAAGACAGCCCAAAAAGCTGCTGCAAGATGTCCCAAGCTATCCAAAGGCAGACCAACGAACCTCCAACTGCTCCAAAGCCGTCCCAAGAGGCCACAAAAGGCAACGAAAAGCCTCGGAAAGATGGCCAAAGGGACCCGAAAACTCATAGCAAGCCAAACACCAGATGACCCAACTGAAACTTATTCGGGGGGGCTCGGTAGAACCACGGCGCCCAGAACGCCCACGATGGCCCCAGGACCCCCGAGAGGCCCACAACAGACCCCCAAACGAGGCCCAAGAGGCCCTCAGGAACTCCCAAATAAGCCTCCCAAAACCTTAGACGCCTTCGAGAAGGAGGAAGGATGGGAGTGAAACGGACGAGAAAGAAGGAGGAGGAAGGAGGATCACTAGGCTGCGGATATGGAGGTGGCGTTCAAGATCCGCGCCACTTCAGAGAGGGCGCTGAAAGGGAGCGGGTCTCGAACCAAAAAGCACTCCTGCTGCGCCGCTTCGCTATCACGACGGCGAGCCTGTCGCTTGCAGCTGGAAGTTTGACTCAGCCCGAACACGAGACTTCACATATAGTTTTACAATTACTCCGAAACCATATGCACCGTCATGAGTCACTGGTACGTTTTCTAGGCCTTGAGGAAAGGATCAAGATGAGGATGAAGCGCAAGATGAATAATAATTATGAGAAGAGTTTTTTTTCCACCGCAGGCGCACGCACCAAATCCACGCGTCAGATCCGCACTAAACATCTCAACGCAAAGGGGCCGCGCAGCCAACATGCAGGGAGGGGGGGGGGAGGCAGCAGCAGAGGCAGGCAAAGAGAAGCGGCGGCGGGCACTCTGCTCCGAGTGCACATGATCCCTGGCGGGCGCGCCCCCCCAGGCACACAGAACAAAAGGGGATCAACACTCGAGCATCCGTCCCAGGCCACGCTCACTCCACGGCTGACCGAAGGCCCAACCAACACCGCAGCAAGCAAGAGCAGACAAAAGGGGCACGCCCCAAAAACGAAAACCCAACACAGAGAGGGAGGGAATACCTGATGGCAGGCCGCCACAGTGCCTCGAAATTCGTCGGGAACCCGAGGGCGAGCGGGGAACGCCCCCTCGCTCCCTCGCGCGGGGCGGCAGCCGGGGCACCTCGAACTTCGTCGGGAACCTGAGGGCGGAGGCGGGGCGCAGAAGAGGAGAACGACCTCCTCCGCGCCAGACGCAACGGGTCTGGAGGCGCCACGGCTTGGCGTCGCGGGAAGGCCACCCTACCCTACCGAAGCAGCGAACGACCCACGGCCAAGCGAACCAGACCGCCCGCCCGTCGGGGAAGCTGTAGATCACGGACACCAGGAGAGAAGCACAGGCAAGGCGGCAGAGAGAGGCGGGGGGGCGGCGCGGCAAGAGAGGCACACTCTCCCGCGCACCGTCCAGTCTTCGCCTGCAAGCGGAGAGGTCACAGAGAGCACTGACAGGCTCTCACAACCCAGGCTACAACACGGGGCCCGGAATTAACCAGAATAACCAGTGCAGAAACGGCACAACAGAAAGTAAACCTCGGAAAATCAGCCGGCCAACCCGAGAGACCCGCCAGGGTCCCATCACACTCTGACAGCATCATGCATGGACCTAAATCTAGAGGGGCCACAGGGAAAAGGGGGAACAAAAAGAAGAGGGACACGGCAACTCAGGAGAGGGGGGGCGCGGCAGGAGGAGCAGGGGAGGCAGGGGGAGGGGCGGCAGCAGCAGCAGGCGCCCGCAGAGCACGTAGGGCCTCGTTAAGCCTGGGGTGCCGACGGGGCAACTGCCGAAGCCGGGCTTTAATCAGGAAGTCCTCAGGCTGGACCGAACCAGTCCTGCGAGCACTGTGCGCTGCCAAAAAAACAATCTATTAAGGCACGCCCCACTAGGTCCCGTGACCGTCCCCACTGTGGCCCCAGACAACAGAGCGTGAGGAGCCAGTCCTCACCCGTGAGAGCCTCGCCCCAGGTCCTCAGAAGTCCACCACGGGGGAATGTGTCAGTCAACCCAGCCATCAACTTGGGGCACACGCGATAATGCCTCAGATCGTCATTGGCCACATCCAGAGGACACCCAAAGGCACAGCCCACCACCGTGGTATGCAGACGACTAGAGGTACATACTCCTCGGCAGAGCACTCTAAGAACCCCCGTGACGAGGTGCATCGTGCTGTCCTTCTCCACTTTACGCATCCTCTGGGCAAGCACCTGAAAGTCAGCAACAGTAAAACGGTCGGGGCCCACCCACTTGGACACCCTCTGCACCATGGTGCGGGGGGGAACAGTGGGGTCGCGGAGTCCTCTGAGCTTGCGCATAGCTTTCTTCTGAAGGGATTTCTTGGGGATGGGTTCCAGGGTCGGGATCGAGAAATTGCCTACTTCATTCACCGTCGTCCTGATCCAGGAAGACTTCCACCAGGGCCAGCTCAGTCGAGCAGGAATGAAGTTATCGTCATCCAGGGAAACCGTCAAGGACTCCATCTCATACTGGACAGCATCAATACTGGAGCAGGACATCAACACCCGAAACTTGATAGCCTTCGAGAAAAACAATCGATGCCCAGGCACTCTAGAGAGGCCCCCAGCGCGCGCAAGCCCGTCAGCATCTCTCTCGAGAAGGCATGGCGGGGACCAGCAGTGATCACCTGAAGGGCTTCATTATACGCTTTCCGAAGAGCCGTAGTCACAGGACAGAGTTGTAGCTGGTACGCCAATATCGACATGCAGTGCGAGTGAAAAAAAAAACGAATAATCTGAGGAAGCCCTAGCCCAAGCCCACGGAGCCTCCGAACCGTCATCCAGAACTTGGGAATGGTATTGCCCCATACTTTATCCAAAGCACCAGGCCCAAGCCAAAATCCCAGGTACAAAACAACGCGAACAAACCCAATGCGATGATACTCACTCCCCTTGGCTCGAAGGTGGGCAACTAATCTATCAGGATCAAGCGAGCCAATCACCAATACCTTACATTTAGGAATGTTCAACCCCAGTCCTACCGCATGTTCCAACTTATGGAGGAGCGAAAGCGTCGGCTGAAGGTCCGTCAGGATATTGGGAAGGCAGAACGAGAGATCATCAGCGCATGCTCTAATTCGGGGGACCTGGCCAGTGAGCCTGGACCTCACCCAGCGCAATACTGGGTCTAGCGCATAAGCGAAGGGTAGCATCGACGCAGGATCGCCCTGCCGCACACCACGTTCCACCGAAAACTCGATACCAGTAATACCAGGGAAGTTGGTAACAACCACATTGTCACGGTACAACTCACGATAAAAACCACAAGCTTCACCAGGAACACCCATAGCACCCAAGACCGCTAGAATCCAGGAGACGATCAGAGAGGGGAACGCAGCCTTAAAGCCCGTGAAGAGAATCCCCGAGCGACCCCCACCAGTAAGCATCTGACGAAGACCCCACCATTCAATCTCAACCACTTTGTCAAGGAGCCCACGTCGCGCGACCCCCCCTCGCTGGATCGTGTCGATCACGGTCGGAGAAGCCCGCTGGAGGCCGATGGAGAATGCGTCACTCAGGAGCTTCGCATCGGTGTTCGCAAATGTGAGAAGTCGAGTCTTATCAGGTGATCGAACAAGGGCCGCGGGGTTCTCGTCGTCTTTGAGGTCTTTGGGCAGAAAACACATCCTTCCACGACGCATGCACGCAGAGACAGTACCCCCCGACGCCTGATACATCTCCTCATAAACAGCAACAAGAACTTCAGCCCCCCCCCCCCCCCCCCCCCCCAGCTTTCCAGCACCCATGTGGACTGCCATCCTCCCCAGGAGCAGAGTGATACTTGAATTGGGCCCACTCTATGAAACCGTCGACCTCCAACTTCCACTGCGAAGAGTCCAACTGGATCGGCTGGGCGTGGGCGAGGATTTCAGGCCAAAGGGTCCGATCAGGTTCCTTGGCGGCAAAAAATCGCTTGCCAATGGTCCCGAAGGGCCTCAGAAGAGGCCGTCGGGGAAGGGCAAACTTGCCCTGCGCTGTCCAGGATCCCAGAGAGCCCGCATCGCCGACGCATCTTGGACCAGGCCCGACGAAGGTGTTGCAAGCGTGTCATTGCCTTAGCCTTAGACTTCTCGTCCTCCCCCCATCCGTCCATCGCCCGCTCCTCCGACTCATACCAAGCATCCTTCAGAGACTGCACCAAAGCACCCAATCCTGCTATACCCACGCATCTCTCATGGTCAGGATCGAAGTACTGAAGCAACCGCGGATACGCACGGATCGCGCGCACACACTGGTCGAACCTGCCCATACGCCACCCACGGAAGGCCATCATAGCAAAGTGGGGCTTCTCACAATTCTCTTTCGGAGGCTTCATCCGAAGCCGAGCCTTGAACTGAGGGGCCATCTGCCAGCAAATCTCCTTCACCCGAGCCAATTTCTCCCGAGGGGTCAGATCCTGGTCGATTTCCATAATAGCGCTGGCACACAACTCATGGCAAACACAATGACGGGAAAGCCATTTAGGAATCTGGGTGGGCAACGCTGATGGCAGTCTCAGAGCGACAGCGGCAATAATAGCACACAACTCATGGGACGGTTTAGGAATCTGGGTCGGATGGCGAGGCGACAAACAACGGGGATATGGTCTGTCTTCACTGCATGCCCCAAGGTATTAACTGACACAGCTAAGTCATTCAGAACGGGGGCGGAGACGGAGGTGTAGATGCGGTCCAGGCGGGCAACCCCACGAACTTCTCCCTGGAACACACCCCGCCGCGTCGGATCAGGTTGGAAAAGCTCCGCCCAGGACCCACAGATAGACTGAAATGCATCGGTGCGTCCCCTATCTCCTGCTAGCCACGTGCCATCAGTACGGAACCGCCCCTCCTCCACCTCCATAAAGTTCCAATCCCCTGCAATCAAACACATGGTGTGCGCAGCCAAAGGAAGGAAAGCCTGAATCACACAAAGGTACCTGCGATACATCGCAACATGATCCGAGGTGTTCGGCATGTGTACATTGACAATCACTAAGTCCCCACGACATCCTTTCAGGTGCGAAGCGAGAACTCGGCCAGCAATCAACGGGAACGAAGAAATCGATTCGAACTGCGAAGCCAGCTTGCTCGAGATAACAGTAACCACACCACCCCCAGCTCTCGGATCGATCATCGAATGGTGAATAACTGCATTACGGCAACGGTCATCCCGCTGTAACATCTCCACATCCGACACTGTGCCATGAGTCTCATGTAAACACACAGCGTCGAACCGGTCGACAAGACCATGCATCTGCTTGTACCGCTGAGCTGCCAATGGAGACGACGTAGAGTACGAAGTCAAGAGAGCACGTGTATTCCAAGAGCACAGGGCAAGCGCAGAGGAGGGAGCGAACACCCCTATTCGCTCCAGAGGACGGGTCACCAGGGGTAAAAGGTCCGCCTGAATTCAAATTAAAACACGCGTTGGCTGGCTGAGCACCGTCCCGGCTAGTCGGAACACGGGTCCGATGGTTTCCCCCGACAGGCCCCACGTCCCAGGGGGGGCCCGAACCACCAGGGACCCGACAAAAATCGCCAGGCAGCGCACTGGGAGTCCCGAGGCAGGGTGCGCCAGAACAACTGTGGGCCTCACACAAAGGGCCGAATCTGATCAAAAAGACTTGCAAAACAGCCTGCATGATAGCCTACTCCGAAGGTTCCGAGGGCCTCAGGAATCAGAACAAGTTCAGGACGACCACACTCACGGACCGTGACCTTCGCCAGAATCACTGGGTGAGTCGCCGTAATGAGGCCGTATATTTGACCGCCGAGACCATTGCTGTCCACCTGGAAACCTTTCTCCCCCAGGACCTTCCCGATGATAGCACGAGTCTGCCCGAGGTAGTAGAACAACTTACGGCTAGCGGGGGGCAAGTCCCGACGCACACGGAGCTCCCACCCCTGGTTATCGATCGGGTTCTGGTACACAGTCTTACCAATAGCCTGGCTCTTCCCAAAGAACGCCGTTCATGACAGAGTGCTGTGGAAGTCAAGAATCACCTTCCTCGTGAGAGAGTATGCTCGAACGATCGGCTCCTCCCCTGCTGGACTGCACGCGGCGACACTAGGGGGCACCGCTTCCTTGAGAGACGCCTCCAGAAGTGGTTTTTCAAATCCAAGGACAACAAGACGGGTGGCACTGGCTTGGTCAGGCCCCGACGTACGCATCATCTTCCGACGCCCTCCTTCCCCATCTCCTCCCACGAGCTCGAACTCCGAGTCGGCACGAGTCGACGAACATGCTGAGAGCTTCTGCTGTAGTTCCTGCATCTGACCGTCGATCTTTGTCACTGCTGCAGCAAGCTTCGCATCTGTGTCAACCGAGACCTGGTGGATCGCTGCGTCCTGGGATTTCTAATCTCTGCCCAACGAGCCTCCGACCGACGATTCAACTCCGCGAACTCCTCCTGCATACGATCGAAGTTGGACCCCATCACTGTCATCTGCTTACTGAACATTTCAAAGTTCTCGGTATGCGAGGAGAATCCTTCCTTCACTAACTTCGTCAACGCGTAGATCTGCGCTGACACCTCGCTCTGTACCTCGGGCGAGGCGGGTGGCACACTTCCCCCCCCCGCCCCCACAGGGGCAAAGGATGGTGAACTCTCTGGAGAGCCGCACATGGAGCCCGTCATGCGAGCGCCCTCGGCCATGGCTGGAGGAGGGGACAGGGAGGCCGGCCGCAGGCGCAGGCGCGCGGGCCGAGAGGGAGGGAAGCAGGGAGACCCGCGGCGCGGGTCGGGGAGAGCCAGGCCACGCGGGTCGCGCAGACCACCCTGAGCCGATACGGCTTGAGCCAAAATGACTACGGAATAAGAATTATAAGAAGAGGAACAGGAGGAGGAAGGAGAAGAAGATGAAGAAGAGCACGACGGGAGCGCAGGACGAGGAGCAGCGGCAGCAACGCTTTCCACCTGCCCCATCCGCCATCCTCTCTCCCTCTCCTCCATGTACTCCCACCCTCCTCATCCCTCACTAGCATCGTGCCATCCTTCCTTCGGCCCCTCCCTCCTCCCTCCTCCATCCTTTTGCGCCACCCCCGTGTGCGCGCCGACGACACCTGCCTCATTCACCCCCGCTTCCTCCTCTCCTTCTGCTCCTCCTGCTCCTCCTGCTCCTCCTCCTGCTCCTCCTCCTCTTCCTCCTCCTCCTCCTCCCTCCTCCTCCTCCTCCTCCTCCTCCTCATCATCATCATCATCATCATCATCATCATCATCATCATTATCATCATCATCACCATCCTATAACCATCATCATCTGCACCACCACCACCACCATCACCATCATCAGCAGCATCATCATTATCATGTTCAACATGATCGTCATCATCATCATCATCATCATCATCATCATCATCATCATCATCATCAGCATCATCATCATCATCATCATCATCATCATCGTCATCATCAGCATCAGCAGCAGCAGCAGCATCACCACCACCACCACCACCATCATCACTATCACCATCATCAGAATCATCAGCATCACCACAATCACCATCAGCATCACCATCACAACCACCATCCTCCTCCTCCTCATCCTCATCATCATCATCACCACCATCATCATCATAAGCAGCAGAAGCAGCAGCAGTAGTATCAGCATCAGCATCAGCATCATCATCATCACCACCAATATCATCACCACCATCATCATCATCATCATCATCATCATCATCATCATCATCATCAGATTCGTAACCTCCCTCCTCCTACTCCACCTCCCTCCTCCTTCTTCTTCACTCCTCCATCCTCCTTCCTCCTCCTCCTCCGCCCCTTCTTCTTCAAACCCGTCGAAAAGTATAAGGTCGACGACAAAGACGACGGCGATGGCGATAACGACGACGGTAAACACGACGACGACGACGACGACGACGACGACGACGGCTGATGGCTCTGCCAACGCGGCCATTGCTGGCCGCCGGCCGCCCTGGTGGGGATGGTGGGCGCCTCGGAACCGCCCGGCCGGCAGCGCTTGCGGCATCGCCGGCGGCATGGGGACCTGCCGCACCCTCTACGGGCACGCGAGGCGTCCTCCTCTGCCGCACCTGCCGCACCTCCTACCTGCCTGCCTGCCTGCCTGCCTGTCTGCCTGTCTGCCTACATGCCTGCTGCCAGCCTGCCTCCTCTTCACCCTCCTCCCCCTCCACCTCCTACAACTTTCACTCCTCGATTCTTCTGAAGAATTGAAATACGTACATGCGTACAGGCATATATGAATATATGCATACATGCATACAGGCATACATACATACAAGCACATACTCACGCATAAATACATGCATACATACATACATACATGCATGTATACATACAGAACCTGCACGCATGCATTACATTACATGGCATTGCATACATTACATAACATTAAGGTTACATTACATTACATACACATGTATGCATGCATGCATGCATGCATGCATGCATACATACATTACACACTTACACGCACACGATAGTACAGAATTTCATGTACACATACATACATGCATGAATACATACAGACGGACAGACAGACAGACAGACAGGCAGGCAGATAGATAGACAGACAGACAGACAGACAGACAGACAGACAGACATGCATACACACATACACATACTTGTATGTGTACATGCACACATACAAGCATACACACATACATACAGGTGTGTATGTTTCTATTTCCCGAGGTTCGGATCAAGTCGGCCGC